GGATTCAGACCCTGGAGGAATTTGATGACGAAATCATTTTCCTCATACCTCTTCAGAGTCTCATAAGGTCCAGGGTTGCAAGGGCAAACAGGTATGGGTCTGTATCTTTTATGTTCTTCCCATAACACTGTGATATCAGTGAAATACTGGCTCACTGATCTATCACCCTGAACACACTTCGAAAGTTTACCATTGAGATCATATACCCTTATATTATCTTCCTGACTGAAACGATTTTTCAGATTATCCCAAACATCCTTTGCTAACCCTAGTCTCATGACACTATTCGCAATATCATCTGACAATGAGTTGTAAATCCAGCAGCGTATAGTGCCATTGCAACGAGCCCAGGATTGGTAGCGAGGATCTGTTACCTGAGGTACTGGAATTCGGCCATCGATGAACTGGGTTTTGTTTTTGGTCTCCAGTGCTAGAAGCATGACCTCACTCCAGGTGTGGTAGTTGCCATCAACTAGCTTGATGGAAATGATGGTGGGTAATGCTCCATCTTGCGGTGGAAGATAGAAAGGGTTGAGGTATGGGTCTTCGTATGAAGGCATCATTGCCCTCGAATTGTTGGAGGATTCAGAGTTTGGATCTACGTTCTGGGAATTGCTGTCGTCTGCCATTGCTGATACAACAGTAACTCAGAGAAAGAGATGAAGTTGAGAAAACAGAAGAAAAAGGTCGGATGACGATGGATGATGGATCTTAACGCGATGAGCAGCGCTCTGATACCATAAGAAGATTTCAGGAAGATTGAAGAATTGGGGAAATTGCTCATAATGAGCTTTCCATTACGCAGAGAAGATATACAGATTTACAGAGTGAAAAGCAAAAGGAATCTACCTAGCCGTTAGAATTACTGTAAGCTAACCACTAATAGGATCTATACACGTGTAAAGCTGTACAGTGAAAAAGTCTATACTACTTCAATGATGAAACGGTGCGTTGCTTGTATTCAGCCTTCTCTGCGTCGTCGTTTGGCTTCTCTATTGCTGTCTCTGTTCTTCGTATTTCTGCAGTTGTTCTTCCTCCACAACAGGGCCAGCAACCTGCAACTAGCTTGTTGATCTTCTGATCAACAGGAGCATCATCATCATCTTCTATGCTCCTTGTTACCAAGCGACGGCCGGAGGGTTGCTGGGGGCTTTTGCCGAGCTGCGAAAATCGTAGATGCGGAAACAGGGGATGCTCTGCTTGCGGAGGAGGATCGCTAGCTGCGGGCGAACGGAAGGAATGCCGCCGCCGGACCGGAGGTTGTGTTCTGGTGGTGGTGAGGTTGGTTTCGGGTAGGGTATTGGGGATTTGGGGTGTGTAGAAAATAAATTAGGTGTGTTATTTTTTTATTTTATTTTTTAAATGAATGTAACAATGAGGTGAAAAATATAAAAGATTATTTTTTTATTTTTAATAATTTTTTAATTGCCACGTCACATATTTAACGGTCAACTACGAAAGTTGACTGCCACATAAGCTAGAGTTAACGGAAATAGACGGAGAGTGACCAAACTTGAACCATTTAAGTAATTTGAGTGACCAAGATTAGATTTAAATATTTCCAGTGACCAAACATGAACGTTTTTTGTAATCTCAGTGACCAACCATGCAATTAACCCCTCCGGATAGTATAACAACACTCTTTTTGTTGTTATAATAACAATAGGATTCATTAAGGGCAAAAGGGTAAATTTATACTGAAAATAATAAAATAAATTAAAATTCAATCCCACCCTAATCCCACATCAGACCTCATCTTCCTTCTCTCTTCTGTTTCCGATTAGTAGTGGCACCCGACCAACGCCGGAGCCGAGAACATCATCGCCTTCGTCGACTGTTTCGACGTGAACTGGAACTTGGACGGAGACTGCTCCGCACGGTGATGCTGGTGGGCGTCGAGATCTTCCGGCGCCGGCAAATTAAGATCCAGCGACAGCACATGATTCTTCTGCTGGTTATTCAGATCCTCGTAATTAACCGCGGCGCTCGTGTCCACAATACCCGCCGCCGTCGCCGTCACCACCCCCGTCGCCGTCTGGTTCCCGGCGTTGCTCGCCCTGTGCCTCCGCCTCTCCACTCACCCGCTCCCTGCCGCGAAGCCAGAAAAAGGAAATTCAGCTCAATCGAGGGAGATCGAGGGAAGTGGACAACAGATTATCCATGGCGGCGTACAACAGCACCTCGACTTCTGATCGACAGCTAAGCTCTAGGTTTTTGTCGTGCAGCTCCAGTAAACGACGACGGATACATTCAACAGAAGTAAACTTTCCTCCTCCTCCGACGACCATCGTTCAATTGGGAGACGATCTGCAAGCAATGGAAGCCCCTTATCTCCGATCCAGTCCGCTTCAATCGTCGTTTCGTTTCCCACCAGCCACCACCATAGCAGGAAAATGGAGGCGGTGTCGAAGAAAGACAGCTTCTCCCACTGCTGATGCTGCTTGGCGGCACTCCGGCGTCCATAGCCGCCGCTGGTTCCCAGAACCGATTAAAAGAGGGCTTGCATCTTCTAATACTTCACCCGCCGGCGATTCTCTCCTTGTCGGGAAACACTCTCGTGAAGCTCGATTCACAAGATCTGCTCCAAATCGAAGATTAAAAATCTACTTTCTCCTTACGATGATGAGTATTTTGGGTTGGGGGGTTAGGGGCGAGCATGAGAACCATTGCGATTATGTAGAAAATTGAAATGGTGTTGTGTTATTGGAGTGGGGTGTTCTTCATTTGACAGAAAATGGGTTTTGAGTGAATATTATTATGCATTTTTTTTTGCTTTTGCCTATTGGACCGCAAGGCAATCTTGTTTTCTTGTTTGTCAAAGTTGTAATATGAAGAGATGAAACAAACCACACATATTGCATAAGTATACCATAAACTTTTTAATACAAACCACAAACACATTAAAATAAACAAAAAAGAAACATATCATAAACCTTCTAATGCATACCATAAATCTCCTAAAACGTACAAAAAACAACCCAAAGCAAACCACAAACATTTCTAAAGCAAACCATGAACACAATAAAGCAAACCAGAAACCTCCTAATGCATACCACAAATCTCCTATAACAAATCACAAACCTCACAAAGCAAACACAACATTTGCGAAAGCACACCAGAAACCTCCTAATGCAAACCAAAAACCTCCTAATGCATACCACAAATCTCCTAAAACAAACCACAAACCTCACAAAGCAAACCACAATATTTGCAAAAACACACTAGAAACCTCATAATGCAAACCACAAACACGATAAAGCAGACCACAAAAACAAGCCAGAAACGTCCTAATGCAGACCAAAATTCTACTAAAACAAACCAGAAACCCCGCAAAGCAAACCACAGAATTTTAAAAAACACACCAGAAACCTCATAATGCAAACCACAAACACAATAAAACAAACCACAAAAACAAACCAGAAACGTCCTAATGCAGACCAAAAATCTATTAAAACAAACCAGAAACCCCGCAAAGCAAACCACAAATTTTTTGAAAGCAAACCAGAAACTTCTCAATGCAAACCACAAACACGATAAAGCAAACCAGAAACTTCTTAATGCAAACCACAAACACGATAAAGCAAACCACAAAAGGCATACAAAAATATGAGAAACCAAACCATAAATCTCACAATGCAGACCATACATCCGGTGGTCGTTGACCGTTGACCGTTGACCGGTCAACGAATATCGTTGACCGGTCAACGAATATCGTTGACCGAACTCTGATGACCGTCAGTGAGCAGATTCCGACGCCGATAGGCATATCCGGCCCCGATGACTAGATTCCGACGCCAGTAAGCATATTCCGACGCCGATGAGCATATTCCGGCGCCGATGAGCATATTCCGGTGACCGGCGACCAGATTCCGACGACCAAACTTTTGGGCCGAAAATGAAAAAATAATTTTTTATTTTTTTATTTTTTTTTAAACAGATTTTTCATAATAGACAAAGTTGAACCCATTTCGTCCAGATGCATATTAGCAATGGCACTTCAACCGATTCTAACATACATTTGAACGAAACATATATCTATAGTAAAATAAAAATAAATTACCAAAATAATTCACCTTTACGTCTACGCCTCTAAGGTTGTGCTTGATGAACATCACTGATTCTTGATTATTTGTTTTTATTAATTATATATTATTTTTCAGTGTCACATTTTCAAATAAGCTCTCACGTGAGTTGCCGTTAATGAGAGGAAGAATCCCTAACCCAATATTTAAAGGACTCTATTATCTATACGGAGATTACAGACTACGTGTTGCCAGTTGCAAAATGTTCATTATTATTTTGCTTACAATTACAGCAGGCAGGCGGAAGAAAAACTCGCCTAGCCCAAGGGATGCATGCTGGCCGGCCAATGGCCATGCCGCCCATTGCCAGCCTTTTTTCCCTTTTGATTCATCTTCACGAAAACGCACCCTCCACTTCTCGGAAACCTAATACTAAGAGCTAGCTAGCCTGGTCCATCGACAAGAACCCCACAAAAACTGCAGTCGTAACTTGTTGTTCAAGTAACAGAGAAATTGTGTTTAACTCAGTATATATAATAAGAACCCTACTACGCATTTCTCCCCCACACACGCACCCACATGCACTAGTTTGACCTCTCTACGGTCCATTTCACATTCTTCTCTGCAAAACCCAAGATATATAAGAAAGATCTGTAGCAGCAGCAGATCGATGAGTCATATTTTTCTTCCTTATCTCTGCTCTCAGAAACCTAACGCACATTATCAAAGTAATCAAATTTATAATCACCCAACGCGTTCGTTGACAAAAAGCAACAGGTCCATCATTTTGTACAGAAAAAAGAAACCGAATCCCCGCCAGCCAGAACAAAGACGAAAAGAAGAAGAAAAAAACGGGACAGTTGAAAGTCTCGAACCTACCTAATACGAGTCTGTAAGAAGGTGATATAAGACCAACAACTCGCGAGCTAGCTAGCTAGTTTACTAGGAACAAATTATAATATTATTACTTATTAGACATCAAGTCCAGAGGTACTCCCGCTTGAGAGGGTCCTGGATCATGACGCCGCCGTTCCCACCCGAAGCAGCGAAGTTGAGGTACTGATGATGATGGTTCTGGACCGCGCCGAAATTGGTGGTGGTCATTGTGCTCGCCAGGAGAAGCGACTTGCTGTCCATGGCGTCAAGATTACTATGGTGAACATCAAGCTGCTGCTGCTGATGTTGGTCGAGCTGCAGGTGGGTGGGACCGGTCGCAGCGGGGTCTTGCTGCATCTGGATGCAGAGGATCTCGGCCTGCGCGACGGCGAGCTGCATCTGGAGCTGGGAGACTTGGTTCTGGAGGAAGGAGATGGCCCCGACGCAGCCGTAGACCGGGTCCCGCACCCTTGCGTTGGCCTCGTACACCAGGCTGCTCACCGCGTCCGCCCTCTGTTGCACCGGTATCTCCTGTTATTTTTTGTTAAACTAAATACCATTATTTTTCCGGAAGGTAAAGAAAAGAGTGAGGCAATTTTCTCGGGGGAAGGGAAATGGAAATGAGAGGAGGACCTGGAGCATCTTGCTGACGTTGCTGGCGCCGAAGACCTTGTGGACGATGGCGAACTTGTGTGGGTCGTCGGAGGGGAAGTAAGGGGCGAAGATGCAGTCCTTGGCGCAGCGGCGCCTCAGCAGCTTGCAGGATGCACACGGCGACGCGCCTCCCATACTGTTCGATCAGAGGGTCGATCTCGAGACCGCTGATATATCAACGGTAATAACTAATTGAGATGCCGGGAAAGAGAGAGCTGAGAGAGAAGAGATGGATGAAAGTGAGAGGCGATTCAGTTCAGTGGATGGTTATTTATAACAGTTCTGGAGAGAGAGAGAGAGAGAGAGAGAGAGAGAGGGTGATGGACTCGGTTCATTGTTTTTGGGTTTATTTTGACAATCCGATGATAATTTTCATATTAAGAGAGAGACGGGATTTGGTGTGTGTTGCCTGAACGAGGACTCGATGGTGTGGTAGAAGTAGTATATATTCAACTAGTTTGGGAAATAATACTGTTGGTTCTACAACCGAATGTTTTCATGGATGGAAATTTGATAGCGTGAAAATGGAAAATACATAACCCATTATCTGAAAATAATAATAATACTACTGTTTTTATTATTAATTTTTTTCGAAGAGGAAAAGAAGAAGGAATATTCAAGCGCAAGGTGACAAACTGGTTTGGAAGTCTTTACTCCCATGTTTGAATACATGACTCAATTGTGTGCTGAGGTAGGAGAGTCTTCCTCCAAATTTTAGAGTTTCGCCATGCAAATGCAAGAGAAAGTAACAGTAGCTCACTCGTTGAGAATTTAACCGAGTTTTGAAACAATTATATTGTAATTAACTCCTCGGTAGATTGTAAAACGTACGAAAGATTGTATAGATAAGAACACGACAAGTTAATTAGGGGGAAAATGGGACTATTTTGGAGAGCTAAGCTCTCAAAAGAGTTTCATTATAGAGGGAGAGTAGAAATCAGACTAGTTAACATTATCTGCAATGAATGTTTCAATATTCAGCTTCGAAATATATTATCTAGTCAAGCTGAGTATTTATCACTAAAATAAATGTTTTGAATTGGGTGAGAGTGTTCTTTTGTACAACCCGCCTTTTATGGGTTGAGTTTGGATTTTGGAATGCACAATCCGTGGAACCCGACCCAACCCGTGTTCCAATTATTGGTATGAGTTCGTATTCAAAAAAATATTTATGTCGTATATAGCCATACTTATGAGAAAATTAAGATATTTCGCCATGTTTTTCTCTCATGTATCCCTAATCTAATGCATTCTTCGGCTTAAAGTTTAGACATAAATTTAATATAGTTATGATTCACGTAATCCTTTTCTTGTGTACAATTTTAATAGAATAACATATTATGGATGCGTTCATTTATAACCTTTTTAGTTTATTTCAACAAATGTCGTGGGAAAAAACTACACATAAGTTTAAGTAAAACAAATTTTATTAAAATTCAAACAACATTTTTGAATTTTGATACCTTTAACATCGGTTTATTCGTTTTAATTTTTAATTAGTTATAAAATATTTTTATGGTGTAGAATATTTACATATTTTGTGTTAGGTTGGGTTTTTACTTAAAAATAACGTCAACCCGACCCAACCCAATTAGAAACAAACCGTAGGGTTTAAATTTTTTTATGTGTGTTTGGGTTTAATATTTCAAACCGTAGTGCATGGGCGGCTGATGAAAATGTCTAAACCCGGACAACCCGACCCATGTACACCCCTAACTACAGTGAACAAAGAAATGAAGGAAATCAACTATACTAACTAAGGTCCGGAGAACCACAAGAGAAGAGAAATTCCTAGGGAGGAGAGTTCCATGAGAAATTATTTTGAGAAGAAATTGGGCTGAGAATTGAAATTTATGGTCTTGATTTTGCAAGTAAATTGGATCGCTTAACTAGTAGTCATAAGTCTCCATTAAAGCAATTGTGGCCCTTTCAATCAAATAAAGATGATTCACTTTCATACAAACCTATATACTCAATTGAAGCAATCAATTCTACTCTTTTATCAATGATGAGTTCTAATCTCGACTTACAAGATTTTCACTTTCTAAGCTAAGTACTAGTAATGCTGAAAAGTGATCAAGATTGAAAATTAGAAGATAAAACCATCAATAGATATCATAATCATCAACCATAAGAATAGGAGGGAATTGTTTTTTACTCAATACGCTATCAAACACAAATTTGACTCAAGATGAGAGAGAAACTACACAAAGAATAGGAGAAACAAAAAATTCAAACTTGGATCTATCCTCTGCTTGTTCCTTTATACAATTGGATTTAATTGGATGAGTTATTGGGAGGTTTTTGCTTCTTCGAGCTCTAAAAAATCATTCTCTCACTCATAATATCGTATTTATAGTGTTTCCTCCCTCAAAAAATTACCTCCAAAATTTTTGAGTTTCAGCTTTATACCCATAGGATAGGAGAGGGAAAACACGCCCCGGAAAACGTGGCTGTGTGTTTTAGCACTCCGTGTCGTGTTATTTAGATCACATGTTGCCTTTTCATGCTGAAAAATATGATCTCGTCACAAATAATCTCCAGATACAGGTCATGCTTTTTGGACCTCCTTATGTCTTTTCCTCAAATAATCTCGAATGATCCAAATTTTCCCCAAATGTTCCTTAACATGCTAGAACCTTCAATAAGAGAATAAACAAACCTAGCATAAAAATGAACAAAGAGAGAAAAACCACAATGAAAATGGCCAAGAATCGATCAAACCCATGTTATAAATGAACTACACTTAGTATGAAATTGGTCTAAAATTTTCAAAGTATGATAATTATAACACTCAAAAGTCTAAGAAATGGTGAATAAAATGCGTATAAATTCAGCGTTATCAACGTGAGTGGACCGGACCGTCTTGTGAATAGAGGCTTGTTTGCTATGTGCTTGTTTCCTCTTGATGGGATTGATGATTTAAAGGTAGATTTACTTTAAATGTTTGTTGAAAGGATGAGAATGAGAGGGTACGATTACCTAGTGGATTATTATGAGATTCGAAAATGCTTGCATTCATGATATGTGAAATGGAAAGAGCATAGGCGGAGCCAAGGGCAATTGAATGTGTCCCGGGACACAGGCAATTTTTGGGAAAATAAAATACTCATATATATATATATATATATATATATATATATATATATCAATTAAGGATTGCACTCATCATCTTTAGGTAATATAAAAATGATATACACTACAAGTTATTTCAAGTTTAAAAGCTAACATAAACTAATTTATCTCACTATAAATAAAATTCACAATACTAAAAGATCGATCTCTATGTCTTCTGTAGTTAGTTTTGACTCTACTCGTTGCAACTGCAAGTGTAAAAAGAACATGAGCTAAATCAAAAACAAAGTTTCAAAGTCGAATTGCGACCAATTTGCTAATGGTTGCTTAGTCGGATACATTGAGAATTTGAAAACGTGTTGTAAGTGCTTATGAAAATAATGATTGTGTTAGTCTAGTATTTCATTAATATCTATCAATGAATTATTTGAATATTATTAGTTTTAATTATATTTATTAAATAATTATATATTTATATTATGGAAATAGGACACAGGTACTTTCAAACTCTGGCTCCGCCACTGGGAAAGAGTACTGGCGCGAGGGATTCTAGCATGCATGTGAAAGAAAATGGATATGAACGTTCAATTGATGTGATCATACAACACACATAGATTTAGAAAGGACATATACCTACTCCAGATGTGTGAGTAGGTTGGATAGAGCATATGCACTACAACAATGTGATTCATGATAACCAGTTGTGATGATTTGGGCTTGAGCAGGGTGGGCGTACGTATATATGGTAACTCGTCACTCGTCACTCGCTCAACTTAATTAGTAGCTGACCCACATGTTATAAGATTCGTCGCTGAAAGAGTCCAGAGGAAGGACACTAAGAACAGATCAACCTTATACACGACGAGATAGAGGTCCGATATAGATTTTATAAATCATTCCATACTGTCTCATCATCGTAGTGATACTTAGCAATTTTCTCGTTCAACAATGTAGCACCATCATCATTGCTAACTAACCAAAATGTCACCTCACTTTGGCTACGACCCAAAAGTAATGGATGAAGATGCATAGTCCGAGTCTACAGTCCAACAAACGGGAGGTGCGTGGCGGTGATGGGTTGGCAAGAAGAAAGCGCAATGAATTCTCCATAGAATCGAAATGCTAGTAAAACAAGTCCTGGAAACCACGTTCTCCTTTGACTAATCAAAAAACATTTATATGAGAAACACGATACAAAGAAAGAGAGGAAAACAAAGGCCACACAGCCCACAGCTGATGAACATGATTTAACTATGATTGCCATTTTATTTTATTTTTTTGTTACCGCTGTCAGTACATTAATTAATTAAGTTGGTCAATTAATGTTTTTTCTTGGTTTGTTAATTAATTATTAATTATTGATGGCAAGAAAAAACCTCAGGAAGTGTGTGTCGTCTGCGTGGGAGAAAGGGGTCATTAATAGGGTTATGGTTTACACATGCAAAGGCAAATCTATGGTGGAGAGAAAGAGAGACGCCTACCCCAACCCAAGGCCAAGATCAAGAGACCCAAGAGAAATGGGCTCGACGTGAATGTTTGTTCGCGCGCACATTCACATGGAAGAAGAAATTAAACGCCTCTCCCTCTCTCTCTCTCTTCCCTCTCTCTCTCTAGATGATGATCGATCTTAAGGTCAAATCTAACGATGTAAATCACTAGGTCTGTAGGTCAGGGAGAGAGTCATTAATGCATAAGTATGGTCACTGTAGACATCCATAGAAACGTTAATAAACTAATAATACCTGATTCCTACTGAACTAGTATAAGATACATTTGTTGTTGTTGGGGAATACGAGTAAGTGAGAGGATCAGGAAGCCGATTACAAATTTGATGCAGTTGAAAATTTAGTCAATAATGTTATAATTAAATTTATGAAGTTCCTATGTGAATTTAGAGGTGTTGAGTAGCATACCATATATATTTGACTTGTTTTTCTTTCTTTTGTTTTATTTCGTTTTTCTTTGCATAATCCGCAGTTATGTCTGTTAATTATCCGAGCCGAATCAAGTTTTGTTGTGGTTCGGACTTGGTTCGTTTAAATAATTATATAAGCTCGAGTTCGGTTCGTCACGAGGTTTAAAATGCAAGCTCAAACTCGGCTCGAGTTCGGCTCTTCAAATCAGTGGCGGACTCAAAAATTTTACACAGGGTGTCCTCTTTCAAAAAATAAAGTAAAATAAAAATAATAATTAAATAATTCTTAAATAAGAAAATACCCAACTCGTACAAGTTAAAAAAAGTCTATGGTGTATTTTCATATTCTGAAAAAAAATTATAAAATACATTTGGTGTCTACACTACTCATTCACAAACTTACGCATATTCGACTTCTAAATTTGTTCTTGAAGTAACTCAAAGCCGAGAACACACTTTGAGCACTTGTCGTACAACTATAAAATCAATGCAATTTTTTTTTTTTTGCCAAAAGATCGCTCGTATTATGAGAAAACAGCCAGATACAAAGAGTCACATAGCTGAAAACAACTATGAAACAAAATTGAACCCCCACTAAAGAGGGGGGACAACGAAAGGGCTTTTCTTGCCACCAAGTGGACAACCCTATTACATTCACGACCAACAAAAATAACTCTAAACTCCTGGAACAAGCTCCGCAAACTTTGTATCTCCTCCAACAGCGTACCGTCAATGCAAATTAAGAGTAGTTTGTAATTAGATTCATTGTTAGGTTTTGAAAATAATTAAAGATATATAGAAAATAGGACTTTGCTATTACAAAGTGTTTAGAATAGAACAACAAAAAAGTTGTAGCCGAATGGAAATTATATTTATTAATAATAGTAGTGTCCCATGTTTGAATTACTCAAACTAACACTTATATTCTCATTATCAAACTACAAACAAGAGTAGGATAATCATTTTTCCAAATTTCAGGGTGTCTCGAACTATTAATTATATATTTTTTTTTGGATTACCACCGAAAGTTGGGTAATCGTTTTTACAAAATTTAGGGGTGTCCAGGGACACCCCTAAACCCTTCTGAGTCCGCCCCCGCTTCAAATGAGTTTAACGAGCCAAAATCAAGTTCAACTCGTAATTTGATTGATTCAACTTCTAAGACTTTGGAACAATTAGAAAATTGCAAAAATAAAACCATTATTTTGAACAACAAAGAGCAAACAGGGGCGCAAGAATGCCCAACGCATTGCATGTTACTCCCCGTTATACAAACAAGAGTAGGAGATGTACAATCTGCAGAACATGAGATGAATGGAGGCAATTCTCGGATCTGAAGACCTAATAGGAGGTTTTTGGATCTTCATACCAGAAGAAGTTCTCGGCTTACAGGTTTTGGAAGCAAAGCTATGTAAAGAAATGAGTGAAGGTGGACAGAGGAGATGCAAGCATTTGCGGCTGGATGAAAAGAGAGGATTTTGCATGCTAGGTCACCGTTGCGACCTCACAAAGATGCAGCACAGGCAATTAGGAGGTGGGATGACGGCAGAGGAGTACTAGGGTTCTCCATTACTTTCCTTTCAGATTTTTAGTGATTGACTGAGGTTGGGAGTCAGACGGGTTCCCATTTTGTTTCCCCAATAATGTGGCTTAATGAAATATAAAGTTGTATAAATGAGGAGGTGGAAACTCAGACGTGTTTACACTACTTTAGTCCAAATTAATACGCTGTTAGGGTTGGATGAGCTAGTTTAATTTTCAACGAAATAATAATAATAATAATAAGAAGAAGAAGAAGTTAGACAAGCTTGTTCCCGAGTTATATCGTGTTGAACATGTCAAGGCTCGAATTCGGCTCATTAATAACAAGCTTATTCGCGATCGAGCTAGCTTGAATAAAAGTGAGTTGAGTGTCGGACGAGTTTTTCTTGAGTCAAATGCTAAAATCGTTTATGAGTTGTTTGGTTCATTAACAGCTCTATCCGCAAGTAGTTTTGTTTGTTTTCCGTGAAGAACCAAAAACATTCAATTACATGTGTTTGCCATCGATACTGCTTTCGGTTCATGCACGTCACAAACTACAAAAATGTTCAGAATCGGTCACAGACAAAAAAAAAATGTTCAAAGTTTGTATTATCACGTACGAAAGTAGTAGAAAAGGAAATTCTTTAAACAGCTTTGTGAAGGAATACTACATGCATCTTTAAATGGACTTATAACTCTTGTTCCAAAAATTTACCACGAGGCCCCGACTTGCTTCGGAAGGGCACTATGGTCAAAGTAACACATTGTGCTCTATGAATAACTATCACGAACAGATGAACAGTGTTTTACCGAGCTTTTCCACAAGAAATTAAATCCCCGCGTGCGCTAATTCATTTCCCCTCCAGAAATAAAAGAACGATAATGTTGTTTTATGAACGAAATAGCAAATTTATGAACCTCATATATATGAAGATAATGATGCAACGACTTGACCATACGTTTGCTTAGTATGTGTGCATTCGCATTCATATGGCGGCTTCCTGTTCTTGTTCCCTGAGGACTGACCAACTTGGTCTTTCGAAGAACATTTCCTAAAGCCATACAAATGGTGCAGCCATTCCCGCATCTAATTTGGCGACCAAAGGTTGTTTGGAAGACTGAGAATGAATGGATGAAATCGTACAAGCTAGCTGCAGAATTAAGGGAATGGTGCAAGATGAATCAAGCGAATGGTGCATGGTTCAAAAAGATGCGTTTAAACTCAATATTTTCTATCGTTCATCAATTTTATGAGTTATTGAGCTATGATTTTATAAACTTGTGAGCCATTTTTTTTATTATCGAACACTAAGTTATTAAGTATTAACCATTTGAACAAAATTAGAAGTGTCGTGAAACAACTATTTTATTCATAATTTAGTACAAACTGTTATTTTTGCTTCCATCGCCTAGGCACGTTTAAGCGACACTTAAACAAGTTAGGTGCTATGCAATGCAAGGCCCCAACATCCGTCTTACACCTAATGTCTTCTTCAACTTTAATTATGTGTTATAACTAGAAATTTTAGTTTCTAATTCTCTTGTGTATTTAGTCAAGTTGAAGCAAACACACCAATAAGCAAACACACCAATAAGTTGAGTGCAAGATGAGTTTAAATGACTTGTATATCCTAATCGTGTACAAGACTTCAAATGCTAATGTGTATGCTGAGGCTGGGCTAATATTAAATACTGAAGCGATGATGATGATGATAATAATAATAATACTACTACTACTACTAATAATAATAATAATAATAATAATAATAATAATAATAATAATAATAATAATAAAAAGCTACTAATGCAATTAATGTGAAACAGTTTGTGATCAGATCCGACAGGAAGCAAGGTGTTAAGAAATAATAAAAACATCTCTATTAAGAAAAGACGGACCCGTTTCCAGAGACTGAAAACTTCGGCATCGGGGAAACCCCGAAAACAAAAAACAACAAGGAAGAATTGTTAATGAAGGAATCGTAGAACCCTAAAAACCACCTTTAACTCTTCTTCGCATTTAATGCCTTTCCACATGATTCCAAACTTCTAATCTTCTGTTCCCAGAAAAACAAAAAGGTTCTTCTTCCCCTACTTGTACTTGTCATGGCCTACTGCACACATTTCTATTTTCCTTTTCACTTCTGTTTCGTTTCTTCTATTTCATTTTGTTTCTCCAGAATCTGAGGTACCTGTCAATCTTCAGATTCACCATAGGGCGGTCGTGATGCATGCGAGCGATGTAAGTGCATTACCATAATTTACTTTTCTCGCATGCAGGACAATAGTTGATTTCGAATAAGAATATGATGAAGGTATAAACACAATGCTTACGACTAGCTCATTCAGTAGACAAATCGAATTCATTCTAGCAATCCGGGCTGCTGAATAAGCTAGGCACAAGCATGCATCCAACCAAATAGTCATGGTGTGCGCACGGCGCAACCATGCCACGATCACTCACGTACGTTTCTATGCATTCTAAGAGCCACAATCCTCTAATCGCGAATCTAACAATTATATATGTATAAGAACGATATCTACACCTACCCACTCAACTAGGGGTGTCAGTTCGGGTCGGGGTCAGTAACCCGAACCAAAACCCGAAACAAAAAATCACTAAAACCGAACCCGATAAGGACTTGCGGGTTCCGGTTGCCCGAAATCCGAAAATTTCTTATCAGGTTTGGGTTCGGTTAAAGCAAAACCGAAACCCGAAAATCCGAACGCCTAAGAATAGGGGCTGAGTTCTATTCATTGGAGATTTTTAGACGGAACCCGAAAAACCGATAAGCAAAACCGAACCTGAAACCGAAAAATCTGAAACCCGAAATGAACCCGAACCCGAAAACCCGAAAATGTATATAATCGGATCGGTTTCGGGTAAACCCGAAAAACCGAACCCGAATGGACACCCTACACTCAACCACATAGCCAAATTCTTATTCTATATCGAGCTTGTTTTTGGTACATAGAAATCATATCTCAACCTAAAAAACCATAGAGAAGTAAACAGGGGGGCCAATCTGTTCAATTTCTAATTCCAAGTTTCAGAACCCTATGCTATGACACTCTAGGAAGACGGAAAACAGCAATTTGATTCTTTCCCTAGTAGGTGGTGAGAACCTTGTATTCTTTTTGTTTTTTCTGTTTCTCTCTTGGGGGAAATTTTTTTAAGTTAAAAGAGGAAAAACAGACATCTTGGCAGTTCCATCTCTCCCTCTTGGAGGAAATTAAAACACACCCAAGCTCCAATGCAAAGAGCATTTAATGTGCTTGGTGATATGGAAGATTCGGTTCCCTTGAAGTGTGCATATTTTTTTGTATTTTTCCCCCCGCTTTATAATTTGTTTACTTCAAAAACTCTGAAGAGGTGGAAAAGATCAGAAGCAAAGTGTTCGAGAATGCTAACCTGTTTGCTGTGTCTTTCTGGTCTCTGTCCCTTTAGCAAACAGAGACTTGAAATTCAGTTGCTTGAACAGGCAGCATTGGTTGTTTGGATTTCCAATGTCGCCTCCATTATTATCAGTATACATATCCTGCAATGTAAAGAGAGAGAAGTAAAAATTACTAGGCTGTACTAGTAATGAGAAATCACGTGATTATGACACCAAACACCATGGCCAAGGTGCTAAGCTAATTTGTTTGCTGCTGCAGCAGCTGGAGCTAATTAAGTTTTTTTCCCACACTCAAAATGTATGTGTTCAGATTTTAGGGCTTCTCTGCACAAGATGAAATTTATATCTGTCCCAGAACCTGACGTTACTTTCTTACCTCCAAACTATACTTGGTGAAATGCACTTTGTCGGTATTTGTTTTTTGCTCCCTGCAAAGGAAAACACACATTAGAGCTTAGAAGGTAGACATCTATGAACCACATAGGCCTACTGCAAACGAATTACAACAGAGTAACAGACTAATTGTGCAACTACCAACATTGGAACAGAACTGAAGGTACCAGGTACAACATCTCCAACAAGCAGTAAACCAGCCATTTGGTCAAATAGTGCAGATTTTATGCGTATAGGGGATCTCCACTACAGCTTTCAGTCTGCAGTTCTATCAAGGGTTCAAAATCAATGCCATCCATCAAGGCCATATACTTACCTCTTGCCCGAAGATCTTACAAGCTGATAGAACACCGTTATTTGCTACCCAATTGGGGTATCTGGAAGCATGAGTAAATGGAGCAAGCATGAGAATGTGTAATAGAAAAGATCTATTGCCTACTACATATTAGAGTGTCATTGTGTGCCTTGGTCACTATGGACAAACAAGTGAACGTTTCATTAGAGAAGAGAGCAGATTTACAAGGCAATAAAGGACACAGTTCAGCCTCACCAGACCAACTCAAACAACCACTGTTGAAATATCAGGAGCCACCTGCCATGTAAAATAATTTTTTTGGAAAGAACTGAATTCTGATCCATGTGCAAATTAATGCACCACTTGATTCCCCAGAAAACTTACCCGCTGATTAAATTGCACTTTTATCTTTCCCTAAATTCCATTACCGTCTCCATTTCATTAACATATCACATATGCCATAACAAACCCAAGAGGCTTATGATGATATCCAGCTAGCTCATCTTCTGATCCTAGATTCGGATCTTAAGGCCAACAGTACCTCTGAAAAGCTAATTGCATGTTATTACTGCAGCTATCTCTTCACGGTTAATGTATCAGTAACTTTCATTTATCAGGGTTAGTTAAAAGAAGGCAATGGTTAGACCACAATATGAAAACGTCATAGTTAATTCAAGAGAAATAAATCTTAATGTTAATGGTTAAGATACCCCTCACTTGAAACCTGCAAAGGAATTCTTATGATAAACTAGTACCTGACAACTTTGTCCAATTGCTTCAGTAGCTCAGTACCTTGAGAATCAATTAGATGCTATTCATATGCCCAACCAGAGTAGAGTAGACGTTGCAAGCCCTCTACGTCAACTATTGTGTTTCCCTTTTCTTTAAGGGTAATTTGCCAGCTAAACATAGTTGTGGTATAACCGAGAGCAGTCTTGCTACTTGTGGTATAACCTAAATTTAAAGCTATATTCTGGCTAATAATAGTGTCCACCATTCTCAAATCTTTCTTTATCTTTCTGTACTTGGCTACTACAGCTGTTGACCGAAAGAAGGAAAAGCTACTTCTAGTATGTGCATAACATAACTCACCAAGTAGTTGTCACTTGTCGGCCTCAACTAGTTAGCTTCATTTTAGATGACCACTTGCAATCTGAAATCAGCTATTCTGCTGCACTGCTGGATCCATTAGCCAATCTAACATAAGTTGGACATGTATCACACTCAACCCAGACAAATGTGCATCCTTATCTCCATCATGCCGGCTTGGTCCATGAGTTCTTCTCAAGACCTAGCAAAGATCCTGATCCAGTAGTCTATAGGAAAAAGGTTTCATAAACAAAATAACAGGAAATTATATCTTTGGAACAGAATAAACAACTACATGAATAGGCATAAAGTTCAAGTGCGGAAAGACTTTAGATAACCACATGAAACCAATTTTATTATTACGATGAACTTTAGCTCTCTAAGCAAGAGATTCAATGAAATTCGCCTGACCAAAGTACACATAACTTGATATGATTTACACACCCTAACCTCATCACAGTGATGTAGTTCTATGTACCAGTAGCGACAATCTGGGCAGAATCCCACAAAAGCAGTTAAGAAAGCAAATTTGCACCAACTGTGTTGATGTTCTGTCTCACAATTTTACGTTCATGTAATTTCCTTGCATTTCGCTTCTTGATTGCGCTTCTAAACAGAATGCTAGCTACATGATGCGACTGCCTAGAGGCTGACATATGATTTTGGCTTCTGTCTAGTATCCTTCCTCTTAGATATTCTGCCGTGTGTGCCTGGACTACAAATGAGCAAATGGAAATTGAGATAATTAGACAAAGAGCTAGTGAGATGACAATTAACATTTAAAAGAGATGGCTTTGACCATCAATATCAAGCATCGGCCACCAAGAGAAGCAACAACCATAAATGCACTTCACAACTATATAGCGACCGACAAGCAACAACATGGCAGAATCGATTGGTCAAGTTGATATTCCTGCAACTAGTGTTGGCCAAGATAACCTAATCAAAGATCAACTTCTCTTTCTAAAAATGGTAGGTCATGTTTCAACATGTTGTAGACAATGAAAGTATAACCACATAAAAAAAATCTGAACTTATACAGGCTACAAAATTTCTTACACCATTCCATCAGTATAAAACTCATCATCTTGAAGCATTCATCTGATCCAAAACCATCATAAAGACTACAGAAATAAATACAAAGAAAATACAGCCCTGATACAAGGAAAGGATCATCCGGTATAATGAGCATCAGTAACAAGGCACCAAGTAAGCACAAAACATAAATAATTCCATGCTTGGATACTCTACTAAGTCTCTTTGGTCATAATATCAGTTGCTTTAAAGCAACTAATTAATCTCGGAGCCTAGATTGACTAAGCTGGCTGCCCAAAAACCGCAGAACCAATGTAGTCAAAATCGCGCTTTAAAGCTTAAAAACGTACGCTTTTACGCTTCTAGGTCACCAAAACGCTTCTACGCAAAAACTCAGTTTTTATAACTAATGTAGTTAAAAACGCGCTTTAAACCTTATGCACTTACGATTTTATGCTTCTAGATCACCAAAACACCACTTATGATCTGTTTCTTTTTTAGACATATTGAGGTAACAATACCATCATTGATAGTATGCCGCAGATATTATCCAAGGGAGAAAAAATCTTAATGAAGATGGTTGGAAGTAGGAAGTCCAAGATTGGAACAGAACAATGATGCATCTGAGAACAGTGATCTCCATATCACCAGCCTGGATAGCCAAGTCAAAATTGGAACAGAACAATGACGCATCTAAGAGCAGTGATGTCCATATCACCAACCTGGATAGCCAGCTTTCTAGCAGATATGCATTGTTGTGGTTGGATTAAATGTTTAGGAAACAGTTAGCATCACATACCAGAGCTTGAAGCTCCAAACTTCAGAGCACGCTCCTTGAGCCTGTTAACTACGTCAACTGCTTCATCGTGTTTTAAAGGTTCTCCAGTTTTGGTATCTTCAGGACCAGCATTGCTAAGGCATGATAGGGCCTTGTCACATGCCTAAACAAGCAAATTATAGGATCAGTAGAATCGATCAAGCTGATTTCAATCAAGATAAGCGACTGAAAACTGATAAAATGCCAATAGCAGACAAAATTTCTCCAGATAAATTGATTGGTAACAACTAGCGTCAAATAGTATCAATTATGTGATGATTCTACTACATTCACTCCCGCCTCTTTCAAGAGTGCAAGTACAACTCTTAGTCTACGGATCATCAAGGCAAACAGATGAATAACTACTTCTCAGCCACAGGGAGACACAGGCCATGATTCCTAGGGTATGAATTGTTCAACAACTCCAAATGGAAGGATAATCAAGCTATGACACCTGATTACTAAGTCTAAAATTCTGAAACTGTGCCTAACCGACTGTAACATTCTAGGCTCACAAATACGACTCACAAGCTAACAACGGCATTTCACTCCCATTTTCAGTTTGATATGACGAATTTGCAGATACAATCAGCAAAAGAAATTGACCTGACGAGCCACGGCATGAAATCCATTGTCGAGTGAGTGCTCAGCGAAATTCAGCCACTCCTCATACGAGACTCGCATCCACTGATCAGCGGAGGATTTGATATCCCGCAGCAGCAATCCCTCGTACTTGAGCGCCAAACAACTCTGTCAAACACGGAGGAAACGACGGTTGAAAGTCAGATGAAATACAAGAGACTGATCGGGAACTGTCTCCGAGGATGAGAATTCGCACCTCGATGTCGCCTATCAGAGCGAAAGCGCGGACAAAGAACTCGACGACCGAAAGCTTCTGCTCGACTGTGCGCTGTGAGAGCTCGCGAATGACAGCGAGAGATTCCGATCTCATGAAGTCTTTCAAACTCGACCGCGTTTGCATGATCGACTTCACGTCTTTGCAAGCAAGAACCGATTCGAGAATTCTCAGGGATTGGTCGTCGAATCTGCGAGAGTCGACAGAGATTGCAGAAAGAATTGAAGCAAAATTTGAACATTGTGGAGGGCGAGTAGAAGACTGGGTAGGAGAACGAGGGATTTCACAGAAGGAACCTTCTGGCGACGATTTGGGAGCGAAAGAGACGGGTGTGCTGAGCAGTTTCTGGGAGCGACATTTGTGCAATGGAATTGGCGGGGAAGGACTGTACCTTGTGATTTGTTATTTACTTATTTTCACGGTGATTAAAGGCAAACCCCAGGATCGGTTGTTCTCTCCTTTGTTGTTAGTCGATTACGGTGGAAAAAAACGAGAGAAGAGGGAAGAACCTATGGGAAGTAAGAAAAAAAAAAAAAAAAACTGAGCGCTCTCAATCGTGTCTCCCTTTTCGGAGAAGTGGGGGGTAACCGCCTTTATGCGCTTATGGCCGTCGGCCTTCCCGCCGTCGTGCGGCGACGCGGCCTGGTTCTCCGGGACTGCATGCCTATAAATTGCTGGGCGTTGGTGGGGGATGGTACCCGATTTGCTTCTTCTGATTCTCAATTAGACAACCGTTACTCGTGTGGGTTTTCTTTCACCATGGCTGTAGTTCAGTTTGACGACGAAGACTTGGCGGCCGGACTTGCCCGGGGGGAGCTCTCGTTGATCGGCCGGCTAATTGGCTCGCCTCCGCCGCTCTACGCGCTGAGGATGATGCTGGGATCGAGTGTGGCGGTACAAAGGCGACCTCACGATCTCCGCCACCGATGAGGGGTTGACTCATTTCCTCTTTTCCCAGAAGGCGGACCTACACAAGGCGGTTTCCAAATTGCCTTGGATTTTCGACAATTTCATGTTGGTGCTGGCGCGGTGGGAAGACCCATCCCCTGCGGTGGCCGATCGTCTTCGTTGGGCTGCTGTCCCGGTGCAGATCTGGAAGGTGCCTTTTGCCTGTTTCACGGAGAAGATGGCGTGGCGGTTGGCCTCTTCTCTCGCGGCTCTTGAGGAACCGCCCACTCTCCATCGTTTGGATACCTCGGGCGGGTTGTACATTCGAGCGGAGCCGGTCCTGGATCTCACTGCCGCACTGCCGGATGAGATTACTGTTGGGCACGTTGACCACACGAGAGGTAACTTTGTTGCTTTGGTTAAACTGGAGAAGGTACCTCACTTTTGCTTTCTCTGTGGTGTCATTGGGCATATTGGAGAGAACTGTACAAGGAAGGAGGAGTTTGCTGGAGTTGCCCCGAAGTATGGTGTCTTTTCCGTAGCTACCGAATCAGGGCCTGCTGTGTCCGAGGATACCCTGGCAAGACGAAGTCGGAGATTCACATGGATTCGAGCAGCGAAGACACGGCCATCTTCCACAGCTAGTAGCGGATCCTTCAAGGCTCCCCCTGTTCGCCCGGCTCCGTCTCGGCAGCTGCTACCCCAGGAGGAAGGAGCTGCAGGGGAATGGCGGGATACTCGGCGGCCCGTGTCACGGCGGATGGGGGAGCTCCTGTCGCCGGATTCCGATGGGGCAACATGTCATTTGCAGGACAATGCTCCTTCTCCCGATGAGAATCAAAACTTGGCTTCTCCTACAGCCAAACGAGCGAGGCCAGGTCCTGGATCAGCAGATTCGATCCCTTCTCAGTATGGAAAGGCGGTGGCAGCCAGCCTCAACTGGGCCCAACCCCCTCCATGAGCTTCATGGTGTGGAACTGCCGGGGGATGAGCTCCCCTTTGACAGTTCCCTCTCTCGGTGGAGCCGTGGCCAGGTTTTCGCCAAACCTGGTTTTCCTCAGCGAAACGAAAAGGGAAGATGAGTTTGTCAATTCTAAATTTGGAAGTATGGGCTTCAAGTCAGTTCGATGTTTTAGTGCCTCGGACGGGAGGGGTGGGTTAGCTGTAGGTTGGGGGGATCAGGTGTCTTGTACAGTGCATCAGCTTTCGTACTTTCATTGTTTTGTAGAGTGTGTCGTGCCTTCTGTTGGGAACTTTGCCATTATCTTTGTCCATCTAGATTGTGATGCTGCTGTTCGGCAGGGTCAATTGAATGAAATTGCTCATTTACTTTCGGGCGTGTCTCTTCCTTCCTTTGTGGTTGGGGACTTTAACTGTTTGCTGTCTTCTGTTGAAAAGCGGGGAGGGAATGCGCCATCTTTTGCTGCTTTAGATCAACTGAATGGTTTTATTTTATCTACTGGTTTGATGGATTTAGGTTTCCAGGGATCGCCGTTCACTTGGTCGAACCGAAGGGCAGGAGGGGAGCACATTCTTGAGCGATTGGATCGGTGCCTGGGCAGCCCTTCGACTTTGACGGAGTGGTCTGACTTGAAGGTAATCCATCTTACTGACTTAGGATCTGATCATCGAATGCTCCTTGTGCAGCTCATTCAACAGGGACACCATAGGCACACCAGATTCCACTTTGATGGGAGATGGAACTCAAACCCGGAGGCGCAGGCGGTTGTGGAGCTCGCCTGGGCAAAACCAATGCGTGGTACTGCTCAGTTTCGAGCTTTTAATCAGCTCAAGACTGTTCGCCATGATCTGGTAGAATGGGCGCGCTTGGGGACTTCAAATTCGGCCCGACGGATCAGGGAACTTAAGTTGGCCATTGAAGATCTGCGTGAGGTTGAAATGGTTGATTGGGATGCCATTCGGCAGCTAGAACGTGATTTGTCGACAGCCTACGTCGAGGAGGAGTGCTTTTGGCGGCAAAAATCGAGGGTGGGTTGGCTTCGGGAGGGGGATGCCAACACTAATCTATTTCACCGCTCGGTAGTCCAACGCCGACGCTTTAATCGCTTGCGAGGGTTACGGGACGAGGACGGAGTTCTACAGCATGACGAAGATGCCATGGCAGGTATAGCCATTCCATTTTATCAAGATATTTTCACATCTAACAATATAGATGCATCGGCCTATGTAGACTCCTTGGGTATTTCTAACAGGGTCACGAGCGAGATGAATGCTGCGCTGATTACTCCTGTTTCGGCTCTGGACGTCAAAGAGGCAGTGTTCAGGATCGGTAGTCATCAGGCACCTGGGTCCGATGGATTCACGGCTGCATTTTTTCAAGTGCACTGGGAGGTGGTGGGGACGTTAATCACGGAGGCAGTGCTCAGCTTTTTTACCACGGGCCGGCTCCTACACAGCTTCAATCACACTCTCATTTCCCTACTGCCGAAGGTCTTGAATGCCGAGTCAATGCGCCAAATCCGACCTATAGGTTTGTGCCAGGTATTCTATAAAATCATTGCTAAGATTATGGCCGCTAGACTTAGTTTGATCTTGCCTGATGTTGTGAGTTCTAATCAAAATGGATTTGTGCGGGGTAGACTGATCACTGATAATATTCTGATTGGCCAAGAAGTTATGCAGTTTTTAAAAACTAAAGTGCAGGGTCGAGATAAGTGGATGGCACTTAAACTTGACATGGAAAAAGCTTATGACCGGGTGGAATGGTCGTTCCCGTTACTGATTTTGGAACAAATGGGCTTCTGCTTTGAATGGAGGCGCTGGATTTCTGCTTGTATTTCTACTGTTTCCTTCTCAGTACTGATCAATGGGCATGCTCATGGGTATTTTAAACCCCAGCGGGGATTGCGTCAAGGTGATCCACTTTCGCCTCTTCTCTATGCTATCTATTCGGAGGCCTTTTCGGCTAAGGTATCGAGTGAGATCATGGCTGCGAATTTGCATGGTTTACGGATTCATCGGCATGCTCCTTTGACTTCCCATTTATTGTTTGCTGATGATACATACCTGTTTTTGAGAGCTTCCTTACCGGAATGTGCTAGCTTACTGTCTTTGCTGGATGAGTTAGAGAGGGTGAGCGGTCAAAGAGTTAATTTTTCTAAATCCTCTATTTGTGTTAGTGCCAATGTTTCTAACCAGGAGCGACTAGCCTTGAGCTCCTTTCTGGGGATGGCAGATTCAGGTTCCGTAGACAAATACTTGGGCTTGCCTATTCATATCCAACGATCCAAGACCCAGACTTTTAGATTTGTAGAGGAGGGACTGGCAGCAAGGATCAGGTCGTGGAAGGCCAAGGCAATGTCATTGGCAGCGAAGGAAACGGTGATCAAATCCATTGGGTCGGCATCATGTATTTATGCAATGTCTGCTTTTAGGTTACCTTCTGACACATGCCGCAGGTTGAATGGCCAATTGTCGAGGTTTTGGTGGGCTGATCAAGATAAAGAAGATGGGATGCATTGGTTGTCATGGCAAGAAGCATGTCTCAGTAAATTTGCAGGTGGCTTGGGCTTTCGTGACTTTGAACGTTTCAACATTGCCCTCTTGGCGAAGCAAGCCTGGCGAGTCCTAATGAACCCGGAGTCCACACTGGCGTCTATTTATCGTGCGAGGTACCATCCTCATTCCTCGTTCTTGGAGGCAGCAGCGGGGTCAAGGCCTTCCTGGGCTTGGCAAGGCATTCTTGCCGGGAGAGATCTTCTGGTGTGCGGCCTACGTTGGCGGATCGGGGATGGTTCCACGGTGCAAGTTCTAGCGGACAACTGGTTGCCTTCTAGTCCTCCATCTATGCCAGTGTTGCTGCCCCACATTACCTCTTGTCCAGTTTTTGTCTCGGCGCTCATTTGTCCGCTTTCCCGATCTTGGAATGTTGAGTTGTTAGCGAGTCTGTTTGTACCAGCTTCGGTTAACTTAATTCTGTCTATTCCTTTACCTATGCAGGTTTCTCCGGACAAACTCATCTGGCACTACTCTCCAACGGGAGAGTACACTGTCAAGACCGGGTATCATTTGCTCACAGACGAGCTGCTGGCTGCTCATCCGCCCGCTGTTTTGCCTTATGAGTGCAGGTTTTGGAAGCTGCTGTGGAGCCTTCCTCTCCCGCCTAAACTGAAATGCTTTTGGTGGAGAGTCGTTCGGGGCTTTCTTCCAGTGCGAGCGGTTCTTCAAATCAAAAGGCTGGTCACAGATTCTACATGCCCGGTTTGTGCGGATGGGGTCGAGACTATTTCCCATTCCTTTCTAACTTGTCGGGTGGCTGTTGAGCTATGGAGTCTTGCTGGTTTAAGCCCCTTAAGAAGTAGAGTACAAGGTTTGTCCCCTGCCAATTGTTGGAATGAATTATTTTTTGCATGCCATTTATCCAAGTCTGAGATTGCTGATGTTGTGTTCCTTTGCTGGCGAGTGTGGAAATCGCGTTGTTGGGCAATTCACAAACATATTCAATACTTGGGAGGCCCCTTGTTTCGGCAATTCCGTGCACAGGTGGAGGAGTGGCAACATGCGTCTTCTCCGTTGATTTTACACAGGTCAGGGAGTGGGCTGCCTAGCGCACGGCAGGGTCAGGAATCGGGACCGGATCGCCAGACGGTGGCCGGGACGTGCCCTCCCAATGGGGTTCTTGTCCGATTTGATGGAGCTTGGAAGAAGGAGGTTGGTGGTGGAATAGGTTTTGCCGGATTCTCCAGCAGTGGGGAACTGCTATTCGCATTTGGCCGA